CCCTCCCTCGTCCTTTCCCTCCCCCTCCTCACCTGTTTTGCTTTAGAAAGCGGCGGCCGACGGGGAATGAACGAAACGGGGGCCGCTGCTCTGCAGTGTACTTTGCCTTGCGTGTTTGCGGAAGTGCTGAAGTTGGCCGGCGACCGCGTCGCTGAGCTGGGGTAGTTCCGATAGCAGCTGCAGCGGTGGCGGTCCGATGCATTCCACTCTCGACTCATCACTCAAATCTGTCAAAATCAAACAGCAAAAAAAAAAAAACGATTTAGGGAGGAAAAGTACGACACAATGGCGAGAAAAAAGCGGGAATGAGACAAGTTGCGTTTCGTTTCCTGGACCAGGAAGGGGGCAGCGTGAAGAGATGGAGGGGGTAAGGGGGGAGGACCAGCCGCCCAGGGTGCTCTAAAACAGGTTCAATTAATTTCCCCGGAGGTTGTTGGGGTGAGCGAAGCCTCTGGGGCTCTCCGGGGCTCACCACAGCAGCACAGGCAGCACAAGCGGTGGTGGCCGGAGCCGCTTCCGAACAGGTACTTCTCCCGCTCTTCTCCGCAAAAGGATAAGAGTTACCAAGTAGCCAAATCTAAATCTCCCCCTCCCCCACCTCCCTTCCTCCTCTCCCTTCACCCTTTAATTTGCCTTTCCCACAAGAGATTCGCTCCAGCTTCTGGCTGAGCGAACGAAGCCCTACCGAAACGAGGCATAGTTGTACAGGTTCTGGTTCCACCAAAATATTTATGGGTGAAATTCAAACATGATCAAAATAGGTGCAAAAAAAGTCAATTTCTTCCGGCGGTTTAATTGAAACGATCCAAGCCGTTGGAAAACAATTTGGGAGAAAAACGCCATAGTGTCAACGGCAGCGTTGCCTCCTCCCGCCGGGGGACAGTCCCCACCCCCTCATCCATCGGGATGCTTTGATTATTTATATCGGATGGGCATGAGGCACGGCCGGGCAAGTGGCGCATTGCAGTCGCCCAGACAATTGATAACGGGTCTATAAACGGAAGAGGAAGCTGCTACGCAGCGGCAGCGGCGGGGTTGGCGGCGGCTGAACCCGACACGACAAGCGCACACTGACAGGGGGCAGCGTCCTTTCGGACTTTGGCCCAAAGCCACACACACACACACCACACACACGGCATTTTGCGCGGTAAACGACACCCGCGGCGTAACTATGACCTTTTCAGAATCAGGATAATGAAAGTAATCGTTGTAATGTTTAGTTTCATTTCATGGAAACAACAAAACGAACTCCTGCCGAAAAAATGAGGTTCAGTCGTGATGATTGAACTAATTATTGCAAGGTATGGGTTTTCGAGGGCACTGCAACTGAATCGAACAACAATCACAACCACCCCCTTGCTCTTGGCCGCAGCCGCCCCGCCTCCGCTAACCGAATGAAGAGGCGGAACACATTGATCACGCGAGCGAAGTGCGCCTCCACGCCGCGATTGCACTGCGATTGCGAACTCAGATCGCAGTGATAGGGCGAGCGTTGTTGCGCACGCCACGCCGAGCCACGGCGAGGGAAACTTTAGGCACCCCCGCCGGCTCCATCCATATGTGCCCCCTCCCCCCCCCCCTCCCCGCCCGGTCCGAGCACAGTCTCCCCCCCCCCCCCTTCTCCCTCATACACACGCCAAGTCCCCCACCCCACCACCCTCAGTCCCGAACAAGTCACAATACCTCGGTAATACATCACAGCACTATAATAATACAAGTTGTTGTTGGTGTCACGCAGCGCGGTAAATAACGCCCCGATATTGGACCGGCCCCATTGCACTATAGGTGCAGGCGGCGGGGATGCACGCCACGTACACGACGGGGGGTCAGCTTGCGGTCGCACAGGGGTGTCAAAGGCCCACACGCCACACGCCCACGCCTCATTTTGCTCATTTGATCTTGAATTATCGCGACAGGGAAGTCGCCGACGACGAACGCCAGTCTTAACTTCCGGGCTTTAACCGCAGCGGGTGCTGTGAACTGGCCGCAGCCCAAAGCCCTGCGGGGGGCGGGACCGCGTCCAGCTGGGCCCGCGGGCCCCGGTCCGAGGGGGGTCCACTGCTGTCTGGTGGGGCACGACAAATCTCCATAGACATCCTCCAGCTCGTCCTCCTCCTGCCCCCGCTGCCGCCGCTGCTCTCCGACCGCGCGGGGAAGTTTCGCACGCGACGCGGCGCGCGGCAGGCACAATGGACCAGGGTCACTTTGATTTGTTTGGCGCTCCCCCGTCCGCCCCCCTCTCCCGCTGACACTTTGGAAGTGGTGGCCGCTGCCTCGCCCCGCCCCGGGCGAGAGCGCGTCCGTCCGGTCCGCTGGGATTCAAAGAGGTGACACAACAGACAGGCAATATTCGGGCATGACAATGGTCATGTGCTGCTCCGCGTCGCGGCGGCGGCACCGCAACGTCAGGCAGCCGAGAGATTTCAGATTTCCGTCTGCTCGAGTCGGCGCCTGTTAGGCGGGACGCCAGGCCGAGCCGCACGGCCCGGTCCGAGGGCACTCTGTATGGCGCCCCTGCAGCCCGCCCGGCCCGGCCCAGCCCGGTCGGGAACAAACAGACCGCAGCGGCCGTACACTATTTCACGTTGGACAACTGATTTTCACAATGTATCGCAGGCGCAATGCGCGCCAGCGTAGCGCTCCAGTTCCGTTCACTTTTTTCCCCCTCGAATAGGGAAGGAGGAACGGGGGGTAGCAGAGCCCTTCCTTTTCCCTCTCTCTCTCTCTCTCTCTCTCTCTCTCTCTCTCTCTCTCTCTCTCTCTCTCTCCCTCTTGTCGCTTGGCAGGTGGCCACTGCGCTCCCGATAAATCTATCGAGCCATAGCCTTTCAATGCTCGTCGCAGCGAAATGTGTATCGTATATCCAGGAGACCCGCGCTGCTAGAGGAAGAGACGACAGAGAGAGAAAGAGAGGGAGGAGGGGGGGGGAGTGCGCGCAGGGGCGGAGTCAGGGGACCGTGAGAGGAGGAGGAGGAGGAGGTGGAAGGGGAGGAGGGGGGGGGAGTGCGCGCAGGGGCGGAGTCAGGGGACCGTGAACAAGGGGGCGTCGGACGGGACCGAGACAGGAAGCAGAGCGTCCTGCGGGACCCCCTGGACCTCCGGACCCCCGGCCTGCCTCGGCGCCGGACCTCAGGGCCCGCACACGATTCGTCGCAGTTTTCCCTCTCACAAAGTCGCTGCTGCTGATCTTGGTACAGTCATATCGAAATATTTTCAGAAAATCTCGATGTGAGAGAGAAAGGGGAGGGGGCCAGGAGAGGGGAGAGCATAGCGACGGGCGTTTATTTGGTCACTCTTTTGTCACCGGCTGTTGTTGACTTACGTCCCCTTATTCGTCCGGATCGTCAATACTGACGTGGAGCCGGCGCGGCCCCGGCTGGCCCATGTTTTATTCAGCGGGCTCTTGTCTGTTGCATATTTGTATTCTCTCTGGCATAAAGTTTCGCAATTTGCGTTCTGTCTCCCGCCGGGACTCCCCGGTCCGTCCGGCACCGGCAGTCGCCGTGTGCAGCAGCGGCGGCGGCGCTGACGCCCTAGCTGCTGTGCCCCGGGCGAGGGACCGTGCACCACCTCTTCACAGAACCACAAACAGAACGGGTGCGAACGAATCAGCACACAGCACAATAAAGCGTTAATAGTGCTTTTCCACTGTTGGGCGTATTGGCAGAACCTTAAAACACCAACTCTCAGCATAAATATATGCCGGATGTGTCAGAGGGGACGCGACATGGCACACGATAAATCCAGTACAAAGGTAGTGTTAACCAATTTGAATGTGATTTTAAAAAAGAAACGAAACACAAACATAGTAAATTTTGTATCAAACGAACCGAACAGAGCTCTTTTCAAATTTGATCGAACAAGCAAGCATATCTGTTGCAATAGAATAGATGAGAGTACGAAAGTAAACAGAAATGAATTGTGGTGGCCGATTCGTACTCTCGACGCCACTCCGGAGCGGGGTTACGATGATTGGGGCTGAATTGTCAATAATTCGTTTACGTTACCATGATAAAGAACGCAACTTGACGAAGCATGACCGTCTAGACTGTAGACGCCCCAGACCAGACAGCACTTTAAGATATTGATTGATTTATGGAGTGAGTTAGATAGTGGTGAGTGAGTTTGAGGCGTCGTCCCAAGCCCCCCCTCTTTCCACTTCTCTAAGCTGCTAGCTTTCTATATTTTTCTGTTATTGGATTCTTTAGATATTCCGTTTTGTCAGAGCTTCTGCGCCGAAAAAACGAACACTTATTGTCAACCGCTCAAAATGGCATTGAGACCCGTAGCCGTAGCACCTCGACCTGCAATAACAGGACGCGCCCGACGCATCCGCGCCGCGGAGTGGGAAAAGGGGGAGGGGGGAGGAAGCGGAGTGGAGGAAAGGGTTATGGGGTCGGAGGGAATGACCCAGGCGGCAGCTCGGACCGTCACCTAATGACGTGGAAAATTGAACGGGAATCACCTCGAAATCCTCTGATGCTGCTTCTTTCGTCTCCCTCGCACGCGCACAATACTGCGCGCCCAACGCTCAGTCTGTTAGCTCTCTCAGTCCCTTCTTTTTTTCTTGCTCACCCTTTTTTTTGACGACACCTCCTGGCTCCTTGCTGTATCTGCCGGCATGTCGCGATCTGGCGCCGACGGCGTCGCCCCAGCAGAGATACCCCGCGCGTGCAGGTCGCCGCCTCTGGAAAGGCGGCGCTACTCCACAACCTCGCGGATATACTCCCAGACCAGCCAGACGTGCCAAAACCTTCTCCAGCGATGCAATAGTAAACTGGAATGCGTCACGTGCGGCATGCAGCATGGCCACTCAGTACGTTAAAGAAGTGTTTATTACAAAATTATTTTAAAAAGGTGAAATCTGGAGGACAAAGAGAGGATAAAGGTTCAAATGGATATGGGGGAATATTTGATTTCACATAAATACTCCTCAAGCAACCGAGGGCGGAATCACGTCAGAAAAAGATTCTAACACTGTATTTCAAATTACAATTTACGCGTTTGATTAGTATCAGTAAAATTGCGAGTAAAATTGCTTTCGCCGGCGATCTGTTGCCGTGACTTCAAAAAGAAAGGTCCCTTTGAGTTTTACTTTACTGTTCGTGCACACGATATACCCCGTGAGGATTGAAAATAAACAAAAGTAATAGAGCGGAAAAGAAGAAAATACCAAGCGCCCAGCGTAGGCTCCATTACAGCAAGTCTGGCCAAAGCGGGCGGCCTGTTGGTGCCCAAAGTTCGCTGCGCGCGGTTGCGTCAGTCGGTCTCGGGGTGCGGCCAAGAGGTGATGACACTACGCTGGACGCCCCCCGGTCCCCCGCCGCCGTGCTGTGCGTCAGCCATGAGCGCCCCACTGGGTAGGCCACCCCGTCTGGCGCAGCGGGCAGGCGGGCTTGCCTAGCCGGCGGGCGCGCACGGCCACTCGCACGGCTGACGACACCCGCCACGCGAGCCACCCACCCCGCCCACCGCTGCCATCCGGCGGGCCTTCTCCTGCTCGCGCGCTCGATCGGACGAGAGAGGGAAGTCCGTGGCTCATTCTTCCGCGTGTCGATCATACGCGTGAGCCGCCCTCGTTAGCACGGAGCGCACTGCGATAAAAATGGCTGTCTTAGAAATGAAAATGTCGGGGCTTAAATTTCCAGTATACTGAGGAGCTGGCAAAAAAACAAAACGTAGTAGTGATGAAATGTTTCTAAAAAGAATAACGATGATACTCCCATTTTAAAGACAATGAATTTCTTTTTGTTTTTTGCTGTTGCTGTTTTTTTTTACAATCTGGGGGCAGTTCACTCTGAGCAGCTCAGCAGGCGCTGAGTGCTCCAGAGCTGCTGGCCACCCCACTAGGCCCCGCCACACCCCACCCTGCCTCGCCGCCCCGCTCCCCACCGCTCCGCGCTGCACCGGAGTCCCAGTCTATATAAGAAGTCCGCGGCGCGCGCGCGCGTCACTCTAGTTCCATCCATCTTGCGGGCAGCCGGCGTGCCATCCACAGCGACATAATGGACAGAATAATAGTAAGTGTTTGGGTTGAATGATGCATGCCTATAAATTTACAGGAACATTGCAACGAATAACAAATCGCCTACGAATTACTATACAAAGTTCGTAAAGTGATGGATACACTACCAACTCTAGTGTTTAGTTTAGAAGTCACATACTTGTAGGCGCGTGGAATTCCAATTCGTCCACTACTTGAAGGGCCATGGCAGCTTACAGCTCCTGCTCCATGGAGTACGCAAACCCTCAACACCGAACTGTCCTCTCAGAAACAACCGATACGAGTGAGCGAATAGGAATTCACGCATCTAGTAGTGTATGAAATTTACACAATTGGGTTTCAGTGTCAGTGATAATTATAGTTTCTGGATAAATCAAATGTTCCTTTCCAGGTCCAAAATATAGCTGTATGTGGTAGTAACAAATTGGCACTTTTGCTCTGGTTATTGTTAAAATTTAGCACAGTAGCTTGTGTGATTTTAGAGAAAACAGGAATGCTGCCATTTGCTGTAGTCACTTCTATTGATCAAGGATCGTCTCATAATCGCTCGGTTAATTCACGGCAGCTCGGCGCCTGCGGAAGTCAGGGTAGGCCACCCACCAACGCACGCATGTGCTGCAGGCACGATGTTGCCTATCCATCAGGCGGTATGAGAGCTTGCAACAGCTCCACTTTTCCAGGTTCTTAACGACGTACTTTCTGGACCATTGGACCATTCGTGAGTGAGATGGCGCTCGCGACTGTTATGTACGGTGCATTGTACTCGACCATTAATTTTCAAGCAATTTTCACTTGAGTGTCCTATAATGCGCCCACGTCACGTTCGTGCCGGATCTCTTTTGTTTTGACAAACGCTTTCGCAGTGCTTGCCAAAAAGGCAACTGCTGTGCGGTGCGCGCGCGCCCGCACTCGCTCCACTTGGCGTGCCGTTTGAACACTATTAGGAGTGCCGACACTGCCAATCCGACCGTCTTAATTAAGAATGAGGAAGTCGTACACGGCGCGCGCCTTTGGGGCCTAGTTGGGCGCTGCTGATCTCGCTCTCCGTCAGCAGCCTGGACACCCTTTCTCTCTCTCTTTCTCTCTTTGTTCTTTGTCTCTCTCTCTTTCTCTCTCACTGGCATTGTGGTTTCGGCTGCGGCTGCTTGAAGTGCGGCGCAGGTAACGCGGTGTTGTGGTCACCCGTGTCGGTCGACGTGTGGCGCGTGGTGGCGACACGCACCCGTGTCCGTGTCGCGTGCCTGACAAGGCGCGTGGGTGAGCTGGACACACACACACACACACACACACACACACACACACACACACACACACAGCCGGTATTGCTGACCGTTTCGCCTGCGAGCGTCATGGTAGTGGTGATAGTGCGGTGTATCTCCCTCTCGGCACCAATCGGCCCAATCCAACTCGGAGCGCGGAGCGCAAAGCTAGTTGTTGTCGGTCGCGTCCGAAATTGGGGCACGGCAGCGCGCGCGAGAGGTACGGAGATCGACGAGACAATCGATGGGAGTATACCGAGAACGCGAGACGGAATCGACTTGGGCAATCCTGTATAGCCGAAAGGTAATCCGTTTGTGGCCGTGGGAGATGATCGACGAGGGGAAGGGGGCTGTACGGGAGGCGCGATTTCGGTAACTCAAGGGTAATTTCATTTTACTCCAGAGGGGGCGAATGCATGGTTATCCGGAGTCGTTCGGCCGGTTGTCCTGGAAGTGTAGTTTTGAAGATACTCCAACAGAGAGCCGAAAAAGAAGTTATTTCGTCGCATGCCAATAATTTTTGCGGAGTCGGCTCCCTCGTGGGAGTAACAACAAGTCTTGCAGAGTGGAGCCGAGCGGCGCGGTGGCAGCAGTGCCTACAGAAGGAAGGGGGTGCAATAAGTTGCAGTGATGCCGCCTCGATAAGACCCGTTTCTCCCCCTGATCCTTTGAGCCCGCGGGCCGCCGCACCGCGCCGCGCCGTGGTTAGGAGGCCCTGTGGCGTGCGGTGGGGCTGTTTGTCATTCCGACGAGGTGCCGCGCCAGACGCCACCGAGCGCGCCATAGACCAGGACCGGCGCAACCAGTGACACTGACACACACGCACACACACACACACACACACACGCACGCACGAGTGCCTTATGCCTCCCACATGTGCGCTGTGGTGCGGAGAGCCGGTTCAACGAGCACCTGCTGCTTGCTGCTGCCTCTGCTCTGCTGGCTGTCAATGCGCTGCAGATGAAGCAATTAAATCGGAACGAACGAGCAGCAGCGTGTGGCGGCGGTGCGGCCGCTTGGCGACCGCGGCAAGGCAGGGCGCGGTGACTTACTACTACTTGCTGCTGATCAGGTCGCGCCGTTCAAAACATACGACTCAACCGGTGCGACCGACAAGCAGAGCTGACGACCAGTAGAAAAGTCTCCAGCAGCACCGAGAAAAGCAAATTGAGGCAGGTCTGTGTATTTGTGCAGTGGCAATAATCGGCGCAAGCAAATAAAAAGATACTTCATAAGTAAGTGTCCCATTGTCCCCATGTTTTGTTAAAAAAAATCATCTCCTAAAAATAGGGGGCGTAATACTGTTCCTCAGGCAAACGTGTGCATGAGAGAGCCCTCTGTACTGCTAAGTGAACAGTGTGACCCTTGCGTATTAGAGGCTCTCTGGTGTCCGCCGTGTGTAACCCGTGCTCATGTGGTGCGCTGCTCTCTCCAGGCGCGCATGGAGAGATATGAGGAGGGGGGGGGGTAGGAGGGTGGTCCCCTCGGGGTTATCGCACGACGCCCTCTCTGAATCCGTCGTCCTTGCTGCAAAGCCCACAGGACACAATGCAACGCATGTAAGGCCGCGCTGGGGCGTGGCGTAGTTGGGCGGGGCGGGCGGGGCGACCCCACACCGCGAGCACTGTGGGCAGCGGCGCGCCGGCCGGCTGGACATGGCCGAGCGCCTAGAGGAGGAAGCATGCCCAGAGCATCGACCTAGATCTCCATGTAAAAGGAGCAGGGCTTAGCACAAGCGGACCCCGGACCCCAGAGCGGAGAGCCAGGCTGCAACCCTCTGCGGAGGGCTAAAACAGAGTCGCGCTCTGCTGTGGGGGAAGGTGGGGGACGGGGTTGCTCGTGGCGCAACGATTTGCGTAAACTGCGTGTCCCTTGCCTGGTCTCGCTCCCCGAGCAGCTGCCGGCTGCCGTCTAGTAGGCAGGCCTCCTCCGGCACCGCGGCTTCCATCATAGCTAAACGCAACGCGACGCCGCGCCAAAACGGGTGCAAATGGGGTACGCCGGCACCCGTGCGAGCTTTGACAACCATGCCCCGCCCCGCCCTCGACGCCCCACCCCGTCAGGCCCCGTCCGTCCCACCAGGTAAGGGGAGAGTGCTGCTATGTGCCAGGCGCTGATATGGCTGTCCAATAATAATAAACATTCCGCTTCGGGAACGGCACGCCAAGTACAAAAAGTTCGAAACAGACCCGTAAAAAAATTAACGATGGCAAAATCTATCAATCATAAAAGCCATTGCAAAAAAAAAAAACAAGAGGCGACACGAAAAAAATCTTCTACGCTCTAATGAGGGAACTAAATCCTGATTTTATTCCCAGCTCGCAACCGGGTTGAGGGGGGAGGGACCACCCGGCAGTACAAGATAATTACGGCCGCATGCAGTCCACCATAATAATTCCATAATGCGGCGCCATGGACGCTATGGGGCAATCCCTCTATCTTGGTGGCGCGCGGCGCGGAAGGGCAGCAGAGAGACGGTGTGGCACCAGTTAGTGTGTAGAGATTGCAGCCGCCACCCGAATGATTTGGCAGAGTTGGACGGCGAGGTGGCGGCACCTGCCTCCCGGTAACGAGGTGCCCAACTTCGAAGCGAGGGAAAGGGGAGGGGGGGAGGAGAATCATCGGTCAAGCTCGATTCAGACTGGACGGAATGCGGACACACGCCGTTCTACAGCACTTCTTAGCACCGCCCGCGTACGAAGGTTGGAGCGAGAGAGAGATAGAGACAGAGAGAAATAGAGAGGGAGTGAGAGAGGTAGCACCGCCCGCGTACGAAGGTTGGAGCGAGAGAGAGATAGAGACAGAGAGAAATAGAGAGGGAGTGAGAGAGAGGGGGAGAGGGAGATGAGGGGGCGAAAGAGAGAGGGGGCAGGGAGAGGGGCGCGGCCGATTATAGGCGTGTCCCGGGCTGTGTACCGCGTTACCCTACGCTATTCGCACTGCGCCAAAAGGTGCGTCGGTGTGCGGGGCGCTCGGCGGGGCGCGGTGCACTGTGCAGACCGCCTGCCCGGTCTCCTACATCTCAACCGACAGCCTGACGGATGTCGTATCGTACTATGACAATCATAACAACACTGCCGTATGCAAAACGGCTTTGCTTTCGACCTCGTATATATAGCGGGCAGCAGGAAGCTATCATCGGGATGATTGCGTCTCCCACAGCAACAGCAGCATGCGGGTCATCTGGTCCCCCACACGGCCGACCCGGCGTCAGACCTTGGGACGCGCCTCGCGAACTCGTCTCGCCAAAACTGGACCATCGGCGGGCGGAGCCGATGATCAACAAGGAGCGCGCTTTACTTCCGACGCGATGCAGACTTTTCGCGGATGGCTTCCTCATCACGCGATGCAATACAACCTTGTGTTGTTTTGGCCGATTTTTCGCCGGCAATGTGTGTTCGGTAATGAGGTGCAGCAGTACAGAGCGCGTTCACCCACTGCTCGGCACGCGGGGCGGCCGGGCAGCCAAACGATGCGTCTGCTCTTTCCATGCAAAAAGAAAGAAAACAATCATAATAAAAACGAGAGGGAATACACCAACAATGCGAGGTCGCCTACTTGTACGGTCGCGCCGGGCTCGCTCCAGCTCCAGGGAGGAGCGCAGGCGTTACTGCAACGTGTGTCTGAGAGTTCATTAGCATCGGCTGAAGGGTCGGCAGGGCGTGCTGGAGCGGAGGGGCAGCTGGCGGCTGCTTGGTGAGCCAGGACCGTCACCGACCACGATCGTCCCACCTCCACCCCAGCCCGCCACGCCCCGCCATCCATTTACCTTCCCTTTTTACGACCGGGGGGACAGTCGGTCGGTCGTGCCTCAGCGCGGCACCACGATCGGCCGCGATCGGCTCGCCAGGCAGGTGTCTGAGGTCACGGTGCAGTGAACTTCGTGCCGGCCGAGCGGCTGGCCGGGGCGGGAGATGCACACGCCCGTGGACGCTAAACTGAGCCGTCGTGGCGGCGGGGCGGGGCGTGGTTGGGTGGAGTGGGGAGGCCCAGGGCGCCAGGATCACGCCCCTGGCCGCGACGTAAGACTCGCCGGACCGCATGCCGGTGCAGCGCTGCGACCAGTGCTGCCAATCGAGGGGCCAAGCGTCCACAAAATCGCGCTATTTTGTTAGAGATTGATTTAAATATCGGGGGCGTACTCAATGGGTTAACAATCTCTGTTAAAGAGAGATGGGTTTCCGATTTTTTGGCTTCTAGAAAAAAGGCCTGCTTACAATTCGAATTCGAAAAGGACACTTATTTTACCAGGATATCATCACCACCGAGAATGGTGGTACATCGCTTTTCGAATATTGTTTACATGAGGAAGAGCATTCTATAGAATGTTAACTTTATCGCGAATCTCCTGTATAAACGTACTTTTCCCATCCACTTTTTGAATTACTAAATGGTATCTTTACATTACGTGCAAAATTAACGAAATTAATTGTATCACGCCAAAGTACTGTCATTTTCTGTTGCACTCCCGGCTCTTTCAGAGAGCAAAGACCGCGGCCGACATACTACTGCCATGTAATTAAAAATAGTTAAACGAACGACAGCAAACAGCAGCCACCGCGGCGGCCGGCGACCGCCGCCGTGCCACGACATCACTAACGGTCGCGTCGCTTGATTCATCGCTCGCTGCAGCCACGTCGATGTACTGCTGCTTACTCCACCTTACAGTGCCCCGCCCCGGCCCGCCCCACCGCGCCATGCAATGCCCCAGTAGCGTTGCACGGCGCCATAGGGGCGACGCGGCGGTGACAACGAGACCAACAACATATGACTCGCGTGCCTCCCTCACGGAGTCCTCACGTGCATCTCGATACTACACACAGTTCGGCGCCCCCTCCCCGCTCACCACTGCGTGGCTGCACGCCTGGGTGAGCGAGCCAGTCGTGGACGGAGAGGTTTGTTATTGCCGCGCTGCAAGACCCGAGGGAATGCCCAGTTCCAGCCAGGCAACAGGAGCAGGGTGTGGCGCCGAACGATCGGCCAGTCGGCCACCACCACGCACCTGTCCGTGTGTGTGTGTGTGTGTGTTCGCCTGTGTGTTTTGGACTTTTGGCGCTCGCACTGATTCAGGAAGCGTTCGGCAACGATTTGGAACACGCTGTGAGTGGGGGAGGGGGGGGGGCTGCACAACCGGCACTACTGCACTATGCACAAGTAGCGTAATGATGTCATATCACCGAGCGAGGGGTTGGGGTGTGGGACGCTTGCGAGGTTGAGCAGCGGGAGGTGATGTGTGTAGCTTTGCTTTCCGATTGGGCCGGTCGACTGCCTCCGTGCCATACGCGTTACGCGATGCGATAACACAACGGCAGCAACAAAAACAAAACCAACCGCACACCCAGTAAAAACATGACATTGAAGATATTTTTTTCAAAGCTCGACGAGGATATCCTTCAGGCGAGCACAATTGTGAAATGCAGTGGAGCAACAAAACCGCGAGTATTTTGCTAGACATATACGTGTTTTTCTCTTTTCGTGTCTGCAGACCCTCCTCGGTCTGCTCGCGGCCTGCCTGGCGGTGACCAGCGCGCAGTACAACCAGCAGACGACCACGCCCGTGCCCATCCTCAAGCAGATCAACAGACACAACGAGGACGGCTCCTACAGCTACGGCTACGAGGGCGCCGACGGCTCCTTCAAGATCGAAACCAAGTTAGCGAACGGCGAGGTGCAGGGCAAGTACGGCTACGTCGACGATTCGGGCAGCATCAGGGAGGTGAGTCTGAGTCAGAGTCGCGGTACAGATAAGATCTGGTATGGTGGTCGTTTTTCTCACACAAAGCTTATCCTCTCGCCCACGCAGGTGGAATACGGCGGCGGCAAGCGCGGATTCGAGGTGGCAGGGCCAGGCATCAACGTCCCGCCGCCCACACTCGTCAACAACGACCTGGGCAGCACCGACTACGACGACGGCCAGTACCGCGAGGACCCCAGCATCTACCTCAAGGAGACCGCGAATGGCGGCCGCCCCGGACTCGCCGGCGGGCCAGGCTTGTCCCTGCCGCCCCCGTCCCGGCCCGCGCCCCGGCCCGCACCCATCCAGCACCAGTACACGTCGCCTGCGTACCAAGCCAGGACGCCGAGCCACGTGCAGCAGCACTTCTCGCAGCAACCTGCCTACAGACCGGCGCCCGCCTACAACCCGCCCGCGCCCGCCTACAATCCCGCGCCGGCCTACAACCCCGCACCCGCCTACAACCCCGCGCCCGCCTACAACCCCGCGCCCTACTACAACCCTGCGCCTTACCAGGTCGATCCGAACCAGTTCTACGGACACCCGGCCAGGAACATAGACATCAGGACCGGGTCGTACTCGGTGCAGTACAACGGCTGAAGTCCGCATAGAGACACCGCGCCTTCTCTTGTACAAATTTGCGTTTAAGATGGTTAGGTTGTAAGCTCCAATGCTCAAGGGGGGACGTCTCATATCTGATAAACGAGAATTGGGATGCAGTGTTGTGTTGAAGAGTAAAGAGCTGATGCTAATCACGTCGAGGTAAGTCATGTCGCGCGGAAACGCGCGGAAAAGGAAGAGAGACAACTGATGTATTATTAAAAAACAAAGATGCATGCTTTTTATTTGGACAGCAGCGAATGCGCTAGTCAGGTTAGACTGATTCTGCTATAAATAGCCGTTCCTCATGCCATAGAATGTTACCATTCGTACCCCTCGTGTACTAATGATAGCAGTGAGCCAACGGCTTGTTGACTATCAAGACTACCCTGAACACGATTGTGAAAAAATAAAAGAGGTGTTGTTTTGAAATTAGTTAATTTTTAAAACTGGCCACAAACTACCACATTAACATATACAAGTAAAAACCTTCTTTTCTTAAAAAAGAATCCTCCAGAGGCCCTGGGTTTTTGTAAGGTTATATTGTGTCGCATACACAGAGGTGTGCGGAACGGTTTGCTTGTCGATGTCACTCACCATGGTCCGGAAGAAGGAGGCAACCCGCCAACACCCTGCAAGCGGTACAGTACAACTAAAAACAAGTACGGGGATTGTGGCACAACTCGTCTCTCCATGCCTACGGGGGATAAAAAGTAACCGGAGTCAATCCGAGTCAGCGCCCATTAACCCAAGATTCGAGACAATGTTGCACTCTCCAAGAGTGCACGTGGTAATCCTTGAGACCTTGGCGCTAAGAATGTAACGTATGACAGGGGATGCACTACGTGCTGCGAATTCCGTATACGAAAACGATCCAGGCGAAAGTCACAGCCTCGCCTCCGTCTACCTCGGCCAAAGTAATCAAACATTCGTACAACACCGGGCAACTCCGGAATAATGACCGCAGGGCAGGATCGATGGAGTTGCAGGGAAATTTCTTAGTACAGAACTCGACCCACGACCTGGCCTTGCAGTGCAGAGAGATCTTGATACCCAAAGGACATTGGCTCGGGAATGCGCGCGAGGTGCAAGTCGGCGGGAGGGGACGACGACCATAGGCATCCCTCCCCCCACCCCATTAACCTGCCGACCCTCTCTGCAGCGGGCGGTCTATCTCCGTCGCACCCACGACGGACCCCAGACAGACAGACAGAGAGAGAGAGAGAGAGAGAGAGAGAGAGAGAGAGAGAGAGAGAGAGAGAGAGCGCAAGATCTGTCTTTTTAAACGCGCGCGCGGCGGGGCGGTAGCGGGGTGGGGCGGGGTGGACAAAGAGAGCAACGACGGCAGTCCAGCTGGCCTTGCGCACTCCTCTGCCGCTACCGCTTTGATTATCTTTCGTCTTATTATTGCTGTTATTCGGCACGCCGCGGGACGCTTAAGCTTCACTTTAGCAGCTTTAGAGCTGCCTAAGCGTCAGGCAAGGCGGCCGTAAAGCGCGAAAAAAAGACAAAACAAATAACGAGACGACGGAGATGATTACAGGGCTGGCCGAGGCCGAACAGGCCCCCGTGGTGGTGCTCCAAACTGTCATCGACTCACTCACACTTCTTTACTTTCCATTAACACGGCTCAGCGTTACTTTTCCTTTCGAACCAAGCGTTAAGTAATACTAGGCGTGGTCGGGTGAGGCCCATCGGCTACGGACACCTGTACACTCATTGGGTTTTATCGTTTGGTATTGCACGTATCAAAGTTTGCAAAGAAAAAACTGAAGTAAAAAACGCACTAGATAATATGTGATATATTTCTTGGATGCGGAATGGACCCTTTGCTTTCCTTCCCCACCCACCACCCACCACGTTGCGAACGCGTCTTCTCTGTTCTTGAAATAAATTTTTGGTTGCAATTTCGGAATTCTCATAATCGCACGACCGCCATGACCCAAGGGACAAGCCGAGGTCGTCGCCCCCCACATGCGAGGCGACAACAACAACTACTACTGTCCCTCCTAGTGAAGTGGCTCACGCAAAGTCACGGGCGACGGCGCTCGGGCCTTATGCGTAATATAAGCCATCCCATATTGCGGCCGTTTTGCAACAACACGAGGGCGGCGCTGCAGCAGCGGCGGCGGCGCGCCACTCCCCGCGGGCGCGTTGCTCTCATGCATCCTGCTGCTGCAGCGGCCGCAGAGTGGAATGCAACACCGGGCTGATCAGGCATAAAGGGACAGCCGAGCTGCTCGCGGCGACGCGTTCGAGTGCGCGCGCGAGCCGTCAAATAAATACGCCGGAGCCTCATAGGCGTACGGACAGTTATGTCCCAAGCGCAAAGAGACAAGCACGCGTTTCCTGTCATCGAACTTTTGCCTCCGCACTCTCGCGCTGGCCGCGCGGGGCGGCGCGGAGGCGATAGACATTCCCTTCCCATGTTGCACCTCGCACGGGGCGGGGCGGCGGCGCTCGCGCACTGCGGAACAGGACAGACAGGTGCAGCGAGCGCTGCAAGCACCCCCAGTGATGTGTGGGGTTCAAGGTGGGGTGTGGTCGCGTCTGGCGGGGACCGTCACAACCGGCCCACTACTTCCTGCAATATGACTTCATCCGACCGGCAGCGCGCGGACAGCGAAATCATCGGCTTCGGCCAGTTGTGAGCCATTATAATTCGATTCACACGCACGCGTACGACGATGATACGGTTCCGGGAAACGGAACGGCACCAAAATAAACATAAAACAGGCTAGAGAGACAGATCCGCCAGCCTCACCCAACCCAAGGCCTGACCGAAAGAGAACCACGTTTATTTTATCCTTGAAACAAATTGATCGCATCCACACACAGAAAACAGCATGTTCACGTGGTTCTGAAATTTACAGCCAAAATGATCCAACCCTTATTTTGCCCCATTTAGTTAAAAAAGACTGCTATGAGAACGCAATACGGATGAGTACATTGATAATAAATAGTTCAGAAAAAACAGACCAGTAACGGGGAGTTTTTTTTTTAGGGTGGCAGACTGCGCGCGACGAAACCCTTCCAACGGCGGCGGGCCCAGCTACGCCGTGGAGGCAGGCCACCCATTCGGCTCCCCGGGCCGGTGTAGCAGCGGCGCGCTCCGAGGGGGGCGCTACCGTAACGGCAGCGCGGGCCCGTGATGGCTATCGTGGGCGCGCTTAGACGGCGGCCATGACGTCACAAACACAATATATCTCTCTCTTTCCATCTCTCCACCTTCCTATCCCCGCCCATGGCGCCCCGCTATCCAAGCAGTGACCGCAGAGCTCCAGACCGACCCCCGACGTGACGATGGGGCGGTACCGGACACCGCGCCGAGCGAGGAAGTATAGCCGTAACGTCAACAACGCACTCGTAAAGGGCGCTGCCGGTGGCTCACCGCGAGGCTTCGCAGCAGCTGGGTTAAGTGGAAGAAACAAGCGGCAAAACTGGCCTTTTCTTTTTACTCTCATGTTTTTTAGGTGATTGGTATGTTGTGTGCAGGAAGGCGCAGTGTTTCTGCCAATAAGCTTGGCCGATGAGTCCACGCACACTCACGCGTGCGGCCGGCGGCCGCCGGGGGAATGTTCTGCAGAACGAGAGCAAAAGTGATGACGTACCAGGCAAGGCCATCCTGGCGAACGGGCGTGGTCGAGAGAGAGAGAGAGAGAGAGAGAGAGAGAGAGAGAGAGAGAGAGAGACTGGCGAGCAGCCAGCCAGGCCAAGCGAGGGGCCCAGTGCTCTGGTTGCCAACATGAGTGCCCATACCAGCAGGCCACGCACCGAGGGCCTGCCCGACGTGTCCAAAATCAGGTTTATTCGAGCTCTACCGATGGATAAGAAACCTGTCGTGCGCGGGGGACGATTTCAAAAACTATTCACGAGACAAATCTGTCGATCCCTTTAAAAAGAAAAAGAGGGGAAAGCAGAGAATGAATTGGCATAGAGAAAAAATGAGAGCATTAACTAGCCGCACAGTACATGCTGTCCGAGTTCGAGCCCCTCCTGCTCGGCGACCAGCTCCGCTCCCTCGGTGAACTTGACCCCGCCCACCCCGGTCGCACACAACTCGCGCGGGTCCCCGGCTCCAAGTCTAGGTAGCTGCAAGCTGCAGCGGCCGCCGCGGCGCGGAGATGGCAGCGTAGCGATATTTCTCAGACAAATGAAAATGCAAGCGCCTGGCGCCTTGCTGGAGCGCGCTGCCCTGCCCGGGATGATGGTCCATTCCCGCTAGTGTCCCAGCCAAAAGAATAAATTTAAAATATTATAAAAACAAAAAACCTGGCCATTTTAAGTTTCTGATACCATTTCAGTGAAGAATCGCCTTAAGTACATCTGCTTTTCTCAAATTAATTCGGGCAAAGAGCGGGACCTTGGCGCCTGAGAGACTCAGGATAGGCCACCTGCCGTACACGGGTGCACTGCACGAAACATGGTGTTGCCTATCTACCAGGCGCTATGATGAGAGATTGAAGAGGCTCAACCTGGCAAGTTGGAAACGGCAAATGACGGAGGATTCTGAATGATCCTTTCCTCCAGTCACTTCGTTTTCCAGTCTCATGTTCTGAACCAAATTCTGAAAACACAAAGTTTTGTTAATTGACGCCAGTAAGTCATTGACACTTGACACATATCCGTCCGCTAAACAAACTGTTTTAAAAATGCGTTTCAAAAAAAAAACTGTTTCAAAGCTAAATGGCATTTGCATGCTGTATTACACGAAGTATTTGCTTCGCAAGCTCACAAACCCCCCGTCACAAAGAAGAAATCATTTTTTCTCGAACAAATTTGTTTTAACAGTGCGCTTTCCGAAGAGGTTACTCTCTATTTCCCCCCTTCCGGGCCTCCGAGCCAAGGAAGTGACAGACAGTCCAAACCACGTCGCACGACGAGGCTCCGCGCTGGGGCTCCGCACGACGGACGACATGCGAACTGAAGGGTTACGCGAGGAGCGCGTCGCGTGCGAGGCGCTGTGCGCTTGCGAGGCGCTGCTCATGTGTCGCGTGGCGCGAGCGCCCCGCCCGGCCCGCAGCCCCACGGCCCGCCCACGCGTGGCCAACGCCCAAACGGCTCCATCACTCTCGATCGCGCGCAGCGGGGGAGGAGGGGGATAAAAAAGAAAGGAAAGGATACGAACACCGCGCGGCGGTGTTGCTCCACACTTCCTGCCGCGCGGGCCCACTTGCGCCTTACAGGGCGAATCTAAGTGTGTGAATGTCACACACATGGGGGTGTGTGATTTTCTAGTTTTCTTAAAGTGGGGAATGTACTTCTTCACGCGAGCTTCTCACTGGAGCACTTGTGTCGTTTTAGGAGTTGGAGGAATTGAATAAATGCAACCTTTTTTCCTGGTGTAGGAAATGTATCGTATCGTCCCAAAATACCACTCCTACCCACAAAACATCATCATCAACAGCAACAACCAACGGGGAGGGGGTGCTAGGGGGGTCGCTACGCCGCTGAAAGTCCTGCTCCAACCGTTCGCACCTCGTCGAGCACGCAATGGCCACGGCCCAATGGGGTTGGGTCCGCACGGCGGGGTGGGGGTGGGGGTGGAGATCAACTCGTCTCATCTCCATGCGGCCACCATCAGCCGCTCGCTATACAGGTGGTGGCGCAAAGCATCTGCATAAACAAGACACATCTGTACCGTTCCCTGCAGACGCGCGAGCGAGCGAGAAGACAACACACAACACTTGGTCAGACCCTGCTGGAGCTCCCGTTGAAGGCTTATTAACGAACGCTTTGTTGTTGGCATCGGAGCCCCCATGATGACAAGCTCCCGAAACGAGGAAGGAGCTTTACTGCCGCAAAATGGAGTGGGAACCACGCCCTGTCTCGCCACGCCCCGCTGGCACCAGTTTCACGGGGCGCAATATGCACATGTTTACGCGGCGTGGTTAACTGCACACAGCGTGCGCCCGCCTCATGTACATTGACGAACAGCCTGGCCTGGCCACCCCTCCGCAAAGTCCTCACCTTTACCAGTAGTGGAACAGACATACACGCCGCAAGCGGCGCCTGTTTTAGGCCTCGATCGTGTTTCCACGAGCCGAATCATAATGGTTTCCTGAACAGGAGCAGTCGATAATTATACGCGGTGCCGCGCCCACCGGACTATCCTGTCCGCCTGGCGCTTTACACTGACTACACTCTAAATGTCAAGCAACAATTTTGTCCACTGCAAGCATGCATCTGTTTGCACATTTGAAAAAGTGCAATTTTGAATCTTGAGTGGCAACAAATTTGCATCACATGCTGTTTTTTTATGTCGGTCTTATTTGTGTCATTATTAACCTTACCTTACCTGGCTAGTAAATGTGCAATTAGCGGTTAAGAAACGCACATACGCCTTAAATTGGTAGTACATTTTTATTGTGCTTTCACTACCATGATTACACACTGTTATCTCTATGGCAACACATGAGTGACCATACTAGGCGACATTCTCTTTTAGGAAAAGTCTCTGTTTTGTCGCCAATCTTTGGCGACAGCCGAGACCGAGATGTGACCATACATATGGAAATAGATAATGCCGCCATGATGGGTCCTATTGAGAACATAAAATTTGTCACCCTCAGTGTCACCTTAATTGGTGACGTTCTCGTCGCCTTGGCGGCAACACATAAAGATAACAGTGTATGCAGAGTGGTGGGACAGTTAAGAACATGTCCTTCCTTTAAGTTAATTTTATGAATATATTTCCTATTCAAAAACGGATAAGTACACAAGAAAGAAGAAACTAGTTACTACTGGAATCAGATCTAAACAAAGCAGAGGCAGCCTCAGTCTCTCGGCGCTACACTCCCAGACAGAGTGAGACTCGAAAAGGCAAAGAAAAACCAATAAATAAAAAACGACTGCTTAAGCTGCACCGGCATCCTGCAGATCCCCCCCGGCCGCGGCCGTTGCGCCCTGGACCTTGGACACGTGATCGTTATCCTTGGCCTTCGGTAGGGCGACCAGCAGCAGGTCCTGGGCGGGCGGGACAGGTCCTGCCGGGCGGCCGCGGGACACCGGACACCGGTCGGCACTGCCAACAGCGGCGGAGCGCCTCCCTCCGGCCGATGCACCTCCCTAGGTTAGTCCGGCCCGCGGCGGCGCGGCACCGCGGCCAGTGGCCAGTGCCATTGCTTTGGCAGGCACTGAGGCCACCTGGTCACCCTACAGCACCACTGCCCATTGGCACGCGCTCGCCATGTCCAGCCGGCCCGGCTGAATAGGTCTAATGACTCCCTCTGGTCGTGACGCCCAGTGCATTATGACCGTAGCGGGGGCGCCTTTTCTTCACGAAGAGAGATAGCTCTCCCTGTCTCCCCGACTCCCTCTCTCTCTCTTCCTCTTTCTTTTCTCTGACAGAACCCACTTTTACCCCCTCGTGTAGCAATTATTAGAGATAAATTGCTAACCTTAAAACGCCCACTGACCGAGGGTATTTGTTTGCAGAAAAAAAATAACCTGCACCCGTGCACCACATGAGCAAGAAGTCAAAATTAACATTTCAAAGCCGCTTAATTTATTGGTATGTATCCGAAGGTGTTGACAATCGTCGATAAGAGCCATCGATGTTGCGATAAGATAAGGCGATAACGGTTCCTCCAGGCTTCGGCGAGGTGCAGGTACGGCCAGTGTGCCGACGGCAGCAGTGGAGGGGATGGCTCCCCGCCGCCCCCCGTCACTTTGCGCCGCCCCCCGCGAGCCCCCGGCGGGCCCCCCTCCCTTCCCTGCTCCGGCCGAGGTACTTAAGCCGTGGGAGAGGCGCTGCGCGACCCCAGTCCACGACTAGACATCCCACAATGCAGCTCCCCCTGACGGTACGTACGCGGATTAAATCATCGCCAGCACTAGTGAAAAAAGTGTACATGTGTGAGTGTGTGCATGTGTGTGGGAGTGTGACTGGGCGCGCGCGAACGGATGCGCCTCGAAAGGGGTTGTGAAGTGCTCCTCAAGGCCAGCTCCGCCTGGAATGCAAATCGTGCGGATGCATCGTCGAAAAATTGTGTACAATGACCTAGAAATTGGAGCAAAACTCTGAGATGCGGCCGCCATCAGCCGCTCGCTATACAGGTGGTGGCGCAAAGCATCTGCATAAACAAGACACATCTGTACCGTTCCCTGTAGACGCGCGAGCGAGCGAGAAGACAACACACAACACTTGGTCAGACCCTGCTGGAGCTCCCGTTGAAGGCTTATTAACGAACGCTTTGTTGTTGG